TTTAGAATGTTAGTACATTTTTACCATTATTTTTTTATTTATCTGTCTATTTGTTACCAAAAAATGTTCGTTTTAATTATTTATCTTAATTTCTACTATATATATTATATCTACTATATATATTCTACTATATATATTTAATATGTTTGTTATAAATATTTCCAATTTTCAAATTTTCATCAATATTCGACTTTGCCGAACTGTAATTTAAATAGAAATAAATTCGGCACGTATCCGCGCGGATTCAGTGCCACTACAGTGATATTTTATTTTGTGCTTGAAACTATCATTACATAGTCCGATAAATTAAAATGCTTCTGTTTAGTATGAAGCTTTCAAAACACATATGTGCTCATGTCAAAATTTTCAAGAAAGTAATATCATGTCATGTTTGGTCTGCTAGGCTATTTCTCCGCAATATTTTATAGAGTTAGAAATTTGCAGATCAAGTAGGTGTTACAATTTTTTGAGAGAAGATTTAAAATGTAGACTTCCGTCCCGTAAAACTTTATTGCGCTAGACCCCAATTCGTTCTCTGACTGCTGGCACTAATAATTCAATGGTAGGGAATTTGAAAGCGGTAGTTTCTAAGATGTCAGAAACGAAAAAAATATTTTCCTTCATAATAGATGAAGTGGGTGGGTCAATAGCCATAGGGAATATGAAAAAGGTATTAGAAGTTGGAGTAATCTGCCTTTTCATAATGACAAAAGGCATTTATTTTAAGTGGAAATATATATGGCAGAATTTTATTTTTGAAAAAAGATATGAAAAGTAGTTTATTAGAATCAATATTCTTTATTCTTTTAACGGAAAATTTAGTACTGAATGTCAGGATAATAAAATGTGGATAGCAATCATCGGCTTGCCTATTGATTAGTAGGTCTTTTGAAGGTTCAACCATATATCGAATATAATGAAAAAAACATGTATATACTGCGTATACGATGAATGCCACTTAATAAAGTCGCCAAGACATCATTTGTTAGCCCGAGACATAGAAACACCAGGCGGGGAAGCGGCCATTTAAAGTAAATGCTAAGACGCCTAATGCAATGTCTCAGGAATGTTGACGAAAATTACATAGTGTTGCCTTACAGATAAGAAAAATTTGTACGGTAGAAATAAGGAAGAATAAGTATAACGAAAAATATTTTGGCAACAAATAGTTTATAGAAAAACAATAGTAATTCTCCAGGAAGAAGGTAAATCTGTTCATAATAAAAAATTTACATTAAAGTAGTAAATGTGAAAAAAAAGAAAAGCAAGATTCAAGATCCTATTATCTACGCTTTTCCATATAATCGCTTAAGCAAACGCACGCACAAGCGCACGTAAGAATTTCCATCACAGCGCTAATACATGTATGTTTAACATGTTATGCTATTGCATATACGTATGGTATAGTCCTACACGTACAAGTCGAACGTTTTGTTTTCGTGCGTTTAAATGATTGTCATGTATACGATGTATTAGCGTTGTTTACTATTAGTTAGTATTAACATATACGTAAGCGCATTTCAGCTAAATGAAAAAATTCTGCGGGTGGACATGATGAAACAAACTGAAAGGTGACTATATTTTTCAGCAAAAATTCGCCTGAGCTTATTACATTTGCTTCGATAATTTTTCAGTTCCGTCATATCATCTCTTGAAGAGAGTCCTTTCGAAGCTTTCGGATTTTCGTACCGCCTATTTAAGTTTATATAACAAGCTTCCCAGAAACATTTTTGTGATTTGATGACAGGCGAGAACTCCGCAGCGGGTAGGGCAAGTCCCTTATAAAGTCCCGTCGTGATTGAGAAAATGTACCTGATAAAAATGGTTTGTTCTATTGGTTTACATGCAATTAATCTAAAAAACTTACAATACTTTCCTGTTATTGGACTAAAGGCAACTTAAACAATAAAATATTACAAAAAGAAAACTTTTTAATGATGGCGCTCGTAGCTCGACATTAAGTGCGTTCTGCGATCTTAAGATCGTTGTGTTAAATGCTTATCTTATGAAGATGAAAAGCAATGAACGACGAACAAATATAACTTTACCGTGGATGGTTTGCGACCAATGTCATCTTTTGTATAGGGTTCGTCTTTAAACGTCTTTAGTTTTTTTCCAATTGTTCTTGAACATTTAATACCAAAGGGAATAAGAATTAAATTCGTATTCGTTTTTCTTGTTTCCTAAACTCCTTTGTAGTGCTTTATTTGCATTTCAAATAGTTTCTATGAACCGTTCCTTTATTAACATGCAAAGAGTCTTATGACGGGTTGATTCCTTATATTTATTTCGGAAATGATTTTTTTGAGAACAATTGCTACTTACACTGTTTAGCTGTTGCAGTCAGTTATCTCAATTCTTATCCGACTGACCTCAAATTTCGACTTAACTTTAGCAATAACCTCCTCTGGTGGAAGACTTATGCAATTTTTGCTTTATTTGATTGATTGGTATGATATATTTGAAATTTGAAGATTTTTTCAAAACATCCCAGAGAATTTGATAAAACTTTATTTGAACTTTACAGTGAATCGGTCGAAAATTGCGGCATGTTATTAACAGCATGGCAAAAAGCTGCTATGAAAAGAACGCTTTCTTACAAAATCAACTTAACTATTGCTTTGTTTTGAAATGACTATAAAAAGCATATATAAAGCATACTACACTACTTTAAAAGATGTGTTCGTAAATCATCGTAAATAAATTCGAAAAAATGGGTTCTTGCGCACACGAGGCAGCATTACCTTATAAAGAGGTATATGCTTATAATATACATAAAAATATATATAAAATAGTTGCGAAAAGCGGAATTTGAATTTGTTAAACTTGTTCGAAAGCTGTTTTTCCATAGATTCATGAGGTGTCCACAAAAATGCTTTAGGTTTGCGATTATTTTAGCGGAATGGGCTTCCATATTCAACCATACCTTTGTACTGACTACGTAATAAACCTCTTTTACGACGTTTACAGAGCTCTTTTCACGGACTTGGTAAAAGTCTTTGGTAGTTAAGTTCGAATTTATCAATACATTTTAAAAGTAGCTTTTAATATAATATTGGACGCGAAAATAAAGATAATTCAACCATAAACCAACATAATAGTATCGCTTGAAAACGATCTATTTGTTTAATTATAGTCATGTCATGCTCTATCTTTTCATTTGATTTAAATTTAGAACCCATATCGCAATCTATCAAAGAAAATCAGTGAAAGAAGGTAACAACAGCTGACCCCTTTTTTTGGATACCCAAAAGGTCCCATTTGCATTAACTTTAGCTTCAACCACTCACCACAAGACATTCAACGGGGTTATAGGGATCGAAAACTATCCAAATGCCTTCCTCTATCTCTCTCTCTCTCTCTCTCTCTCTCTCTCTCTCTCTCTCTCTCTCTCGTAAAAATCGTATTAAATGTTTTTGCACGGAAACTAACTATTGCTTATATATAACAAAACGTTCTCAAGAAAAAAAGGGAAAGAAGAAAGGGGAATTGAATTTTTATACTCAGGTGTTTACAACGTCCCCGATCGAAATGATCAGGACGATGATGAAGGTGACGGCGATTACGGTGAAGATCCAGGCTCTACTGAATGTAATTATCAGCTAATGGAAAAGCAACATCAGCTGGAGAAGATGACAACTGAAAATTCAATAAACGAAAAGATTCCAATTGTAATCAACGCTACAAAACGTGATATAAGTTCAAGCGAGGAGAACGGTACGCAGGATGACGTTCTAGAACATGACTCGGATCGCATGTTTCTATTAAATTTGTCGCTGTATTTGCATAAGGTTGGCGATCAAGAAAAACAAAAAGTAAGACAAAAATTACAAAACGTTTTCTTTATGTTTGTTTTAATTTATATTTACAATTGTATATAAAAGTCTTACAAATTAGAAAAATTCACAAGTATTATCGAAAATTTGCAAAAATTGGTATTATATTTTCCATAACTTCAATGCACATAAAAAGAGAAGAAAAAAAAGGAATGAGCAGTCTGCAGGTGCTGTTGAAACGGGGTAGGGGTGGGTGTTCCTGTAAGTGAGGGTAAGGGACAGGGAAAAGGGACTAACGGACGAAGAATCAACCAATGGATAGCGAACAGTATAGACAACGGGCCTTACAGACGGACTTACGCCATGTGTCGGGGTGCAGCTTGTGAGCCGAACACCTCGGAAACATTTTTTGTCGTACAGCACGGGAAGGCAGAAAAGAAAATATAAAAATCATAAAGCTCTGCCGTGAAGTAGCTATGCCTATGATAAGGGCGCACTCCTGAGCGGATTACTTGAAATATTAAGAAAGGATATGGACAAAGTCAAATCCAAGTACGTTAATCTTAATCTGAGGAGCAGAACCTTAAAATCCAAAATGCGAAAGTTGAGGCTTACAAGGCCACATCGGTTCCTAAATAGAACAGTTATTTTCCCCGCTTGACTATCGCAGAGTTTCAAAGGACTTGTTCAGTTATAACATTGCTCACTTTTAAACTTCATTAAGAGAAGAAAAAAAAGTCGAACTTGATCACGTGTCAGAAATGAAATTGATTCGCAAGATGAGACGTAGAAAATAGCCGATGACTTCAATAATAGGCGGAGCCTTCCTCGATACATTGGTGAAATAGATTGCAAACACGTAATTGGTGTGTGTCCCAGAAAATCCGTATTTGATTTTTTCAATCATGCAAAAAATACTTTCTATAATGTTTGTTACTTATTTTTATCTTATTTTCTATAGTTTTATGGGCAGACAAAAAGAGTTCTGGTTTTCAAAGTGATGGGAAGCGTTTTGAAGCATGTTTGGAGGCAAATGACATAACCTTCACATCGCGTACTAGTTTCGTAACGCTGAACGATGAGTGTCTCGCAAGTGCCAGAGAAAAGTGCCGAACTAATCGTCAAGGCTGCTATCTTATTTCGCAATAGTGAAGATGGTTGTCCCGAAGACCTGTGCAGAAAAGAATTTAACTGATTCGACAGGGCGCGATGTCTCTCAAAAATTCCAAAAAGACTATCATGTAAGTTTCGAGATATTTTAAAGCATTACCTGTTTAGTACTGCTGTAAGTTATTTGGTTATTTTGCTCTAGATATATCATACACCTAATCCATTTAATTTAAATAAGACACGTATTGATGCTCTTCATACCCATTACCGAAGGATGATGGGTACATTCGTTTCGTCAAACCGTTTGTGACACCCACAAAGACCACACAAAGTACTTATATTTGCAATCAGCATCAAATTCTGAATCTGTGTAAGCATACCCGTCTATGTCAAGTCTTTTGTAAACAATCTCCTGGCCGCAAAAATGAAAGTATCGCATTTAAATTTGGTAGAAAGATACGAAGTTCTCGCAAGCAGATTGCTATTTGGAATGGGCCAAATCTGTTGAAGCAGACGGCCACCACTCTAAACTAAGTTATTAAATAATATAGAGTAGTATAATTTAAACTTACATATAACATAAATCAAGGATATGTGTGCCGTTTCGTATCGTTGTTTTGTATTATATCGAAACCACTTTTTATGAAACCTAGAAATAATATAATTCAAAGCAATGGGTACCATGTTATATCGAATGCATGTCCTAAGGTGCAAAATTTGATGTTAGTTTAAATTTCGTCCCACAATATTAATAAATGAAAGTAACGTTAACTAGAAGTTTTAATGAAAAAAAAAAAACATCCCACTTGCCGTTATGATATAATATAAAAACCATTAACGAAATATTCGAAAGATAGTTATGCCGATCATAAAATTAGTGTTCATCAAACATCACGGCTAATCGACTTTTTGTTTGTTCTAAAGCTTACTTGGGGCTTCTTTTATTAACGATAAAAATAAAAATAAAAGTAAAAAGCAATTGAGAAATAAATGAGCACATTATAGTTCCCCGGACCGATTCGCTTAATACTGTTATTCATTCATTTTCGTGATAATATAGCAAAAATTATATATTATATTTATGTAAAGACGCACTTTTTATGAAAGCATATTAGAGAGTGGCCAAGAAGTCGTTTGATATGATCCAAATTTTGCAAAATTAATTTACTTTTCAATGGCCATACTATTTTTTAGTTGCTTCAGTCATACAAAACTACAAATTAGACCTTTTTTCCTATAACGGTTTGTTTGTCCTATCTGTGGGGTGGTTTAGATAATAGACCTGCGAAATGCAAACTCATTACGGTGAAATTTTTTGATAAATTGCTACTGCGGACCAATTTTCATCATAAAATATTGAAAGTAAAACCTTTGTTTAAAACGTTTACTATTCTTGAAAACCCTTGCACGGATCCAAGATCCAATGGGGTCCAAAGAATAGTTCGTTATGTTAAGTTATTATTGTGAATAAAATGCTGAAAATGGGTCTTTCTTACCATACATTTTCATAGGAACGGTTCTACCGGAAGAGATTCAACAAATTGTCTCATTCGATCCAGAGCAGCGATTTTTGTGAAGAAATTTTGAAGATTGCAAGTTTCCCTCATATAGCGGCTTAACAAAATAAGACGTTACTTAAGGTATAGTCAAAATAATGGTCCCATCCGAACCATTAAAAAAACTAATTTCTTTACAATCGAGGTAAAATGCTACAACAAGATAGAGATAAAATGTTTTGGTTTTTTATTTGAAAGAAGAAAATTAAAATCGTTGCCTTAGATATGCCCACAAGTGACCCCATCAATATTGACACTTTTTAAAAGGATAAATGCGCTATTTGTAACCCACCAGAAATCTGCGGAATCGATGCTGTTGCACTAGTTCACGCGGATTACTCAAAATAAGAAATTTTCAGCAACGACTTCCACAAGCTTGGGCCGCGTAAGGATCGAATAATCCAAAAGAGTTTTTCTTTATTATTTTGCTAATGCCTGCCTCGTTAAAGGCAAGGGCTAGGGAACCGCAACGTTAATTGCATGTATTCCAGCAGAATAATAAAAAGAAAGAGTGCACTATTCTTGCACCACAGTAGTTGAATTAATGCATGAATCGTTATCTTTAATTTCGGCTTTTATATACTCCTTATAACTAAAAGAATAATAATAACAGCAAATAAAATGGTTCAAAAATGCCAATATGCATAAAGGAATGAAAAATATATGCTGATCTAAAAATCAGCAGAATTACAATTTGCGAAATTTGATTACTGCAATAAACCCGATATTACCCATAATTACGCTGACACACATGCAAAAAGTAAATCCGATTTTTACCTTTTTCTTTAAAAGACAAGTATGTGTACATTACACGGCCCTTGCCAAGACTTTATGAAATAGTTGCAATTACATACTTCGGTACAGCCGATCCCATTAGCAAACACGGCATCACCTGCTCTGTTAAATCGGACAATGTCGGTTTTCCCCATAATCTCTAATATCGTTGTCTTCAGTGTGTCATCTGCAGGAGTAGCCTTGCGTCTCGATAAGAAACTTGTCCAACCACTCAAACCCTAAAAGAAAAATACTGTAGACCGTTTTGTCAACGTATGCAATTCACGGCCGCTTTTACTTCAATCCTAAGATATATAAAACAGATAATTTAAATTTTGCTCTTATTGCCGAGGACTTCGTCGATTTCCATTCCCTTCCCTTCAGATATCCATTGTTTCTTCTTTCGAGCCTTATTCTCGGGTTAACATTGACAATGTTAAACTAATCTCCAAGATAACATGGACACCCAAGGTCTAATAATAACCATTACGCTCTATATCTCTTTCAACTTGTTTATAAAATAGTTATGTCTCAATATTATTCATATCGATCTTCGAACAGTTCATACTTTATTGAAAATGCAATGAAAATAGCACAACCCGGCTGCAAGTTTGTGCAACAGAATGAAATCAACCTAATGATATCTTTATTACAACAATTTAGCGGCGTCCAAAATGTTTGCCCAAGCACACGACATGAGAGAAAATCAGCTGTTTTTTATTTTTTCCTTTGACATATTTAGTACCGTTACTGTGTTGTGCGATATAGTCAAACGACGTAGCAAGAGATTTGTGATCTGCATAGATGATAAATGGTGGGCTTTCCGAGAAGTATTGGAAATATATCCCTTGTGGTTCTCGATCGTAAGTTCTGTAACGACTTTGTGTTTCCGTAAACTTTTTTGAAAAGAATTCAAGCGATACCCAACAATCATTGAAATATTGTTGTAAAACTGCCCCCATACCAAAATCTGAAACGTCAAACCAAAGCAATAGAGGTGATGTTTCGATCAGAGCGGCTAGAGGTGAAGCGTCATTAACTGTGTTTTTTTTTCAAAACTTAAATTTGTTTCTTAGTTTATCAGTTCAAACAATTTTTAGTTTACCGTTTTTTTTTACCTTTTTTTAAATCATGGGCAAAATGTGCGTGTCTTCCGGCTGATGAATTTTTGATAAAAATTAATAAAATGAATATATTGACTAAGACCGTGTACCTTTTCTGGTAGGTCATATTGTTCTATTGATTTTACACGTCGTGGATTTAGTAGTAAACCTTACGATTTTGATAAAAGAAACTCTTCCCAAATTGGTACTTTGCAACGTTTATTGTGAAACTATAGGATCTTAATCGATTATAAAGTATCCAAGTTTTCCAAGTTTGTAGAATCATTATGAATGTCGTCAATGAAGACTGTAAGGAAGCGTTTTTGCTTCCTTAGGGAATACAAGTCCGCCCGCCTAAAACATTTGGCCACAGCGAACAGCCTGTCAGTCCGATTTGTCCGTGCACGCCTTTTTGTTATCAATACATGAACAACCTCCTCCAGCACAAAGTATAAAGTAGGTATAAAATCGACCAATGGATAGAATATGCCTGTAATAGCTTTAATGCACAAAACAGCAAAACTATAGGAATACGCACACAAGTAGATAACATGTATACAATCGTTAAAATGTATTGAATATATAAAACACATAAACACAGGCCCAAGTGCAAAATACGTATATGAGTTGTATGCAATCTGTACAAAATCATTAAGTTAAGATCGGTATAAGATCGGTATGAAATCATTAGAATGTATGAACACGCACACGAACATAAAATAGGTTTAGAATCTGTACAAAATGTATAGCACCGTTAGGTCATATAAAATCTTCTAACAATGCACAAAACGTATAGCACTGTTAGTTCATATAAAATCTGTAAACAATGTACAAAGTTGTATAGCGCCGTTAGGGCATAGAAAACATACAGGAATAAACACTTAGGTAGAAAAATAAAGGGATAAGCATACACGATCATGCAAAACGCATAGACTCTAGCAACACGCCAAATGCTGTAAGCTTTAAAATGTATAAGCACATGCGATCATAGGAAAGCGCATAAACTGTAGAAACAATGTACAAAAATCTATAGCACCGTTAGGTCATACAAAACATAAACACTTAGGTATAAAAATGTATAGCACAGATGAACACACGACAATGCATAAACTGTATAAACACACACGAGCTTAGAAATAGGTAGAAAATGCATAAAAATGTACAAAGGCATAGGATCACATATACACATACGAACATGGATAAACTCCCACGAACAGAAATTGCACATAAACCCACATAAAGCGTAAACGAAGTGTTGTACGCATAGGTTAAGAAACATAGCACTCAGACACCTAACGGCGAATAAATCACGCGATTTGGTATCTGGGTGCGTGTTGAGTAGGCACTTGATCAAACATAGCAATAAGCTAGATGTAAGTTGTTAGTAAGTTATGTACAAGGATGTACGGATAATTTGACTAGTTGATCGTTATGAAGAATTTTTTTGTTGATTTTACGGACAGGGGATGTGCTGGTTCAGGTTTAATCGCCATCCCTGAAGGACGGAGGAACATCTTTCTTTCGGGTATTTACAAACGACCAACCAGAGACGAACCGTCGGCCCAGAGAGTCAAGGCAGCTATGACACCGGCAACGTTTCCGCGTTTCTTGTAGTGCTCCGCGATAATTCAAAGAAAAAGATAAATAAATCTCTCAACATGTGTAAGCCTCACCAGAAGTCGGATCACTTCGCTGGTTCCTAGCCAGCCCCTACACAACGCTGTATCCCACTTAATACTCAATAAAAATGGAATTTTAAATCATCCCCCCGAAAGCCATTTCAAATAAATTATCTTGCAACGAACCCCGGCTAAGAAGACTCGTTACAAGACATAACAAAATTCGAGTACTTTTAGGACTTCATTCATAAGCCATTATGTTTGAAATGTTTGAACAGCATTACACAAACCAATTATCATCTTTGTAAATTTAAAAAGTCGTATTGGCGTGATAAGGGTTGCTTTGGGTATATCTGCTTCTTCAACAGGGATTTGGAAATAAGCTTTCACCAAATGTATTTTAGAAAAGATCTTCTTGCCGTGTAAAATATCTGAAA